ACACATTTATATATATATATATATATATATGTAACACAGTGCAACCCCAGCACCCAGGGTTTAACTCTGGCACCAAGAAAAAAAAACCAAAATATTAAAATACTTTAGCTTCTTAGTATTTGAGAGGTTAGGGGGTCTCTGGGAGCCTTCCACCACAGGTCACATGGGCAGAGCAATGGGCAGCAATCTCCACAACTCTGCCATGTTGCTGGCTGAGGCAGTGGGTAGGAATGATGTATGTACATGGGGGCGTGTGTACTGCAGACTCCTGACCCTCCTCAGCCCCTTACCACAGGAAACACCACACCTGTCATACCCCAGGTGAAGGCCAGGTGAGATCAACGCCAGAGTCTCTGGACCCAAATGGCATGGCAGCGCCCCTGGCCTTGGAAGAGGCCTTGAGGACTGGGTAGGAACTGTAGGGACCAGAGATTCTTTCCCCAAAAGGGAAGATGAGATGGGAAGGTACTAAGCCAAACATGGAGGTGTGGCATGAATCTCTTAAGGTGGCCACCCTCATCCACCTGAGGACCACCTCTGGCACCCAGCTGATCCCTGTGAAGGCCCTGGCTCAAAACACTCAAGAGAAATGTCCAGTCTTTCTCCCTGGTTTGGCAATAGACCCAGCTGGGCTCTTCTCCCTTACTGTCTGGAGGACAGGGAAAATATGGCAGCTAATACTGAGGGGCTACCCTGCTGGAGCAGGGGAAGAGCTGAAGAAGAGGGTGTGGTTAGTAGAACACAGTGAGGGACAGGAGAGAGTCTTGTGGACTCCCTCCTACCAAGAAGTGGCCTTCCACCAATAGGAAGTGGCCTTCCACCAACAGGAAGTGGCCTCCCCCAGGGAGGCTTGTGAACGGAATGGACCTCTGGTGTTGGGGAGATCCAGTAGGCCACAGACCCAGCAGTGGAGGCTCTGAGGCGCTTGTGGACCTGCTCGCTCCTTCTGGCCCTGCATGGGCCTCAGCAGAGTATTGCTTGTAAGTGCCTGGCTAGCCTGGCCCGCTTTCTCTCTGCAGGTCAGTCTGGCTCAGCACACAGTGGGATGTCCCTGCTGTCACACGTGTTCAGTCTGGCAGTGGTGGCCATGGCTACCTGGTGTTCTGGAGGTCCTCCCGCAGCCAGGTGGGCAACGTCTGGCCCATCTTGTACAGCAGCTTGGAAAGCTCAACATTGTGGTCCCGGTAGTAGTCCTTCAGGAAGGCTCGGGACTGCAATCGGAAGGCAGGCCAGGTCAGGGAAGAGGAGGTGCCCGCCACCAGTCCCTCTGACACAGCCACTCTGCTGGCACCATGCCATACACCTCTTATTTACTTATTTCTTCTTTGGACTGGGGATTGAACTCAGGACCTTATGTCACTGAGCTGTATCTCCAGCCCTATACCTCTTATTTACGTACAGTTCTCTGCTAAAAAGCAGCCTCTAAAGAAAATTCTTGTGACAGACAGGCACATTCATCAAAACCAGAGGCAACCCAGGTGTGTGGTACACACATGGAATCCCAACATTCGTGAGGCTGAAGCAAAAGGATCACTGTGAGTTTAAGGTCAGCCTGGGCTACACAGTGAGTACGCGTCAACCTGAATAAATAATAACACCCTGTCTCAAAAAAAAAAAAGAGATAAATCACAGACCCCGCCTCTCACCCAAGAAGCCTCCTTTGATGCTCCAGTCTATGAAGTCACCCTTGTGCTGTCTTGGCACTTCTTGCCCCTTGCTGCACCACGCTCTCCCTGCTGCACACTAGCCCGTGTGGCAGCCCATCCCCCCAAGACTCGGAGTTCCAAGAAGGCAGGGGACTTACCTGCTCACCCTCAAAGCCCATAGCCCACCCTCCGTGGAAGACCAGGGCAAGGCACACCTGTGGGCCCTGCCCCCACTCGGGGGCCCCTAGCAGTGACTCAGCTGCAGTAGGCACCATAGCCACCACTTACATCCAGATCCATTTCTGGGTATTTCCGGCCCTTGCTTTTGCCCAGACACTTGGTTTTTCCTCCTTCAAGCAGCTGGCACCAAAATCCTTTCTTTGGATCAAACCTGTGGCAGTGGGGAAACCTTCAGTGAGAGCCAGCCCACCTCTCCCTCTACAAAGGCGGCATCCAGGAACAGCAGAACCAGGAACTCAGGGAAGCCACTGCTCTTCACGCCCTCTAACTGCACTGACCGCGGGGCTGAAATGGGTCGGCTCTTGGTCCAAGTTTAGCCCCCTGAGCTACACTAAACTTGCCATCCTGGCTGCCCACAAAGGGCAGCTCCCACAGCTTCTCAAGCTGAGCTGCCCCATCTTCCATTAATTCATAAACTGGACACTTGCCGGTCCTGTGTGCTCCTGGGAACTGCTGTCAGAGACTTTCTCAGTGGTGAGCTACATTTTCTTTAATTCAAAAAGCCTTCTTTATTCCTCCAACTTCAAGTGATAACAGGGTACAGGAAAAGAAAAAGAAAAAAAAAAAAAAAGGTGAAGGTGGGTTCTTTTGCTTTTTAATAAATTGCACCTTTAACAAGAAATGCAAGGGCATTTGTGTTTGCACACCAGTGTGAACAGTTTTGTATTCTGGAGTAAATTTCAGGAAGGTCAGAGCAAGGCTGCCTTGCATGTACACCAGCACACTACCTTACAGGATATTTCTGGGAGATGAATTTAGAAGCGGTTCCTCAGAGCAAAGGCACATTGGCAACCCAGGCACCATTAGAGTTTGAGCAAGAAGTATTGGGCAAACACAGTTCACTCAGGCAGATGAAAGAGAGAGATTTCTGCAGAGCCCACAGGGTAGCCAGAGGGGACAATGACAGCAGCTACCACAATTAGCACTAGTGGACCGGAAGTTGTACACACAAGTTGTTTGTTTGAGCCCAGGGGCTAGGGATTATTTTCCTCATCCCTAGTCTACACAGGAAGGTGAGGCTGAAAAAAGAAGGGACTCATCAAACATCACAGAGGTAAGTGATGGCTCTGGGGCCAGGTTCCAGGCCTCTGTTACCCCACAGCCTGCACCCATGACTGCTCCCCTGTCCTGCCTGGAGGGGAAGGGACAGATCTTTTCCCTCTACCTTGTTTTGCTTCTTCCTTTCCACTCTCCATTCTCCCCCTTGAGCTTTCAACACTGTGAGGAGGGAATACTCTTGCACCCCTCCCTTGTCTGGGACATAGCAGGGGAGGGCAGCCCCTCCTGCCCTGCCCCTGGAGCATAGGCGGCACTTGCACCAGCTCCAGGGGAATGGGCTTATTGCCATCAACAAAGTATTTCCAGTTTCCTTTTCCTGAAATTATATTTCAGGTCAAAATCTAATGCTAGGAAACACTATGGGAATGGAGGCTGCTCATTGGTCTGAAAGCCAGTGCAATACTCACGCCAAGGTTTTGTGGTAGTCAATGGTATTGGTCACCCCAAGGAATTTCTGCACTGTGTCCATCACTTTGGCAGGTTCTGTGCGCAGCAGTTTGCCATCCAAGACCAGAATCTGGAAGAAGGAAAGGGAGAAGGGCTACCTGGTCTTGCTTCCCCCTGAGGGCAGACAGGGTCAGCAGCCAGAGCAGCAGGCAGGAGCCTGGCTGCAAAGCGGGCCCGCGTGCACTCCAGAGTTGGCTTCCTGTTCCACCTCTGAATAGCAGGGATCTGCACCCGAGATGCCATGCTCTGGGGTCTAACTCCCTGAGCATTGCCAGCACCGTCTGTCCCACATAATCCCTCAATAGTCCTGCTCCAGCCTTTGCCAAGCTTCCAGTCTACATTCCACATCTGCTCCAGACATCAAAGGGTTTCTCCAAAGATCTCCTGGGATCTGAACTCTGCCCTGTTTCCCATCCCCATGCCCCAGTCTCCCCACACTGGCACGTACCCAGGGTTTCTGCACCCCTGGGCAGAGCATGCCCTCCCAAGGCCTGGCAGGCCTACCTGATTGGCATGGAAGGAGCTGAGCCAGCGCTCGATATGGGTGGCATACCAGCCAGGGACCAGGCAGCGACTCTGCAGGGCACGCAGCTTCGAGGATGCATCTGGGCCAGCAGTGATCACCTCATGGAAGGTGTACTTCAGGGCCACAGGGTCATCATGGGCGCGCTGGTGCTGAGAGGAGCAGAGAGGTGGGCATGGCACATGGAGTACAAAGGGCAGCCCACTCACCGTGGGACTGCAGCCCGTGAAGTGCAGGAGACCCTGGACCAGAGGCCAGCTCTCACTGCTGTCGGGACACAGGAAGTCACTGGCCCTACTGCTTCAATGTTGCTATCTCTGCAGGACTGGAGTTTTCCTATACTGGCCATTCACACATTACTTCTTCTTCTTCCTTTTTTTTTTTTTTTTCGTGGTACTGGGGCACACATTACTTCTGAGGTTCCTGCCTGACCCACAGACCAGCACATGCTGACAGTAACCTGTTTTTTTCACACTAACTCGCCTTTCTTTCCATATTACTTCATGTCAACAAAACTCAATGATGCTTCCCTAAATGGAAAAGTAGAATCAGCTATCACATACAGAAGGCAACCATTAGTAAATACAATAAAAATAAGGACCATTCCCAAACACTACTACATGTCTTCCCTTGGCCCCAATCCCAAAACAGACGCTCTTTGTCAGAAATAGGGCTTGGCTGTCTTAGAAATGACACAGGAGCCACTTGCCCCAAACTGAGCACTGGAGAAATGCCAAGACTGAATCACTGAAAGTCGTGCCGTGGGCCTTTAGCATGTGCAAGATTCCTGAAGTCCAGGCCCTGGCTGGGCATAGTGGTGCACACTTACTATCCCTTCTGGTGGCTGAGGCTGAGTAGGAAGATAAGTTAAAGCCCAGCCAGAGCGATTTAGTGACTTAGAAAAAAAAATTTAAATTAAAATGCATAGTGGGTGTAGCTCAGTATGAAGGCCCTGGGTTTGATCCCTGTGCAGGAAAAAAAAAATCAAGAGCCTGGGGACCCACCTATGAGGTGATATCCCTCCCAGGGTGACCACTGGGCCCCACTGAGGGTCGCCATGGGCAGGGAGCCTCATTTTTCCTGACCTCCCTTCCAAAACAGGCAGCCACCCTCTCCTTCCAGCTTGCTCCTGGCTTTCCGGGTAGGAATGGGTATCCCCTTCTGCTCATCTCCCTAACCTGCCTTGACCAGGCACATGAGAAAGAACAGGCCTTTGAGTCAGAAGAGCTAAATCCAAAAGCCCACCACACACAACTTGGGTCTTTTTCTCTCTCACACACCCTCTGCCTTCCAGAAACTGCTGTGAAGCTCCAGGGAGGACCCAAAGTTGGGCACTGTCATGAGCTCAGAGCAGGGTGCTGCCCTGGCAGCTGCCAGAAGCCCCTCTGTGTTCCCCTTGAAAGCAGCAGGCACGCATATGGCAGAATGCAAAGAGCACCAGCCTGCAGGGTTCTGGATTTTCCTACAAAGACAAAGTCCACAGGAGAAATAGATGCTGGGACATGAACAAAAGTCTGAGATACAAGAGGACGGGAAGACTTCCCCCTCAGACTCTGGCAAGGTTCCTTAGGGACAGGAGCAAGGAGGACTGCAATTGCTGGCCCTGCAGCAGACACTGTGAGGCTCTAAGCATCAAAGCATCCAGTACAGCCTCTCAAAGTGGCAGTGAGCTACAGAAGGTGGCTGGCCAGCAGACGCCTTCCCAGCTAGGATAGCTGACACTGTCCCACTCACCATGTACTGCAGCCCAGGTGTCCCCAACACCAAAAGCAGGCCTGGCCTCCCAGCCTGATAAGGGCGATCAGGTTCCCAGCCTGAGGCACCAGGGCCACCGCTGAATCAAAGCACACAGCAATGTGGCCTAAGAGGACTGGCAGGCAGGACAGGGACTCCAGACCAGGCTTGTACAACAGGCTGCCAGCACCCCTGTGAGCATGGTGGGATGCACTCAGAAGAAATTAAATCAGGCCAGGCGTGGTGGGGCACACCCACAGTCCCAGCACATTGGAGGCTGAGGCAGGAGGATCACTGTAAGTCTGAGGCCAGCCTAGGCTACACAGGACAACCTGAACTACACAGAAGACCCTGTCTCAAAAGAAAAAAAAAAAAAAAAGGAAAGAGAAAAAGAAAGAAGTTACAGAGGAAATTAAATCAGGTCACAGAGACAGAGCAGAGAGGAAAGTTCTGGCTCTCATCCACCTCAGCAGGGATGAGGATCCATCCCTTGAGTATACCAGGTTTTGGTGCCCCAAACTTAGACCAGCAGGTCCTATGCCCTGGCTGCCTCCAAGTTCCCACTTCAGCCCACACTGTGGCCTGAGGAGAAGCTGCAGTCAGCATACACCCAGACACCAAAGCCAAGCTGCCCCAACATTCAGGCGTCACCTCCTGTGGGGGTTGGGGTCACCGGTCAGACCCCACACGAAGCCAGGGCCAGTACTCTGCTTCCAGGCAGGCTGTGCCCGGGACGCAGGACTCACCCATCGCCTCATTCCAGATACCTGGCTCTGGACCGGCTGGAGCACTTCTTTTTTTTTTTTTTTTTCTTTTCTTTTCAAAGTTTTTGGAGCACTTCTGAGTGACTGTCAAACAGAGATAGTACCCTGCACCCAGGACCTCAGCCCACCCCTGCTCACCTGGTACCAAGAGTAGGCCCGGTCTGCAGGGTTGATGAGGATGGTAAGGACCTTGGCCTTGGGCAACAGGGCAGCTGCCCGCCGGGGCGCCACTTCGGAATCAAAGTAGTTGGCGCTCTTCTCAAAGTAGAAGTCAGAGGTGGTATTGGAGGGGATGGGGAAGAACTCCATGTACCTGTGGGAGGCCAAAGTGGGACTCTGGGGCAACGCCAGGAGGAAGGGGCCCCGGGTTCCGCAGGAGGGGCCACACTTCCTCAGAAGGCAGCACGCAGACTGCCCCAACCCGCCCAGGACTCCTCCAGCAGCACTCAAGGGAGCAGCCACTTTGCCAGCTCCCACTTCCGAATTCGTTCCGTCCCAGCATGGGGTCGGATGACTGAGACTCGAGGTGTGACGTGGGTTACCGGGCATGGAGAAGGGTGGCAGTTTCCAGCCTAGACTCAGATCCCACCAGTCTGACACTCCGCACCTAAGCCGACAGGCCTAACTCTGCCACTAGGGGGCGAGGCCGGCCCGGCAGCTGTCTGAGCCAGGAGGGCCGCTGGCAGGGCTGTGCTCCACAGAGCAGGCTTGCTTTGCTCACCCACAGGCGCTCTGCAGCCCTGTGCCGTGGAGCTCGAGACGAAGGAGGCTCGCCTACTAACCGCATGCCCTGCCAGCCTGCTGTGGGTGAGAGCACAGCTTTGCAAACCAACGTGTCATATCCCACCTGAGGGATGACACGAAAACCCTACTGAAAATGAAATGAACTGTGTACAGACCCTCCAGAGGGCCCTTACTCATGAAAAGCCAGGACAGGACTTTAAGGAGTTGTGGGAAGCAGAGGGTACCCCTACTCTGTCCAGGAAACTCAGCTTCTCCACAGCAGTCCCAAGGACCCTGAAAGAGTCCTCAGGGGCTTGATAGATTTTCATGCTTCCTTACAAAATTAGAATCTTGGATAAGGGGCCAGGGAATTCCCCTCTTTCCTCTTTCTAAAACTTTGTTTGTAATACCTAACTTGAGAAAGCTCAAAAAGCAAAACCTTTAAAAAAAAAAAAGCAAAACCTTTGCTTCCTTAGCCTGTAGCAAAGTTCAACTTTATCTTATCTCATGTGAATAAATACTCACACACTTTGGTACACACCTGCTAATATACTGCAGGTGGGTGCCGTCCTGGGCTCTGCTGAGATGTTAAGCATGTGGCTCTGCACTATATTACCTTTCCATATCCAGAAAGCATTGGTTTCCAATAATATCTCTGGCCACAAGAGGTTTTAGGTAAGAGACCAGACGAGTCAGAGATAATAGCGAATGGATGGATATTTGCATGTATGGACAGATATACAGGCAAGATAGACAGATGGGAAAGAAATGATAGTAAGTAGAGAAATGTACACACATAAAAATACAGAATAGCTCCAAATCCCTCCGCCTAGATAACCATAATAAAGCTGACACATGTACATACGAGTAGGGAAAGACGCAAATTGAAAACCTGAAGGGTAAGACAATGCATGGTGCCTCCACTAACATTAAAAGCACCTGCTATGGAAGGTCCAGGCAGGAAGCCACAACTGTGACCACCTGCCCAGGGGAGCCCAAAGGCCAGCCGGCATATCAGAAGTGTACACAAGAACACCCTATCTCCACAGCTGGCCACACACAGTGGGAATGGTCAGCACTCAGCTGGCGCGCACACTTGGATGTCAGCCCTGCTCTATCACCAGCAGACCTTGGGACCTAGGCGACTCCTCCCTCCCCTCCTCTGGGAGGCAGGATATTTCTGTGCACCCAAGGGAGGGGACACATTCTGACCTCCACAGTCTGTGACCCAGGCAGCAATGCAGAGGGGGCAGAGGGTTTCCTCACCAAGTGTCCCGCCTGTGACAACATCCTCCCACCATGATTCAAGGGTCACTGCTCCTTGTCCCTGTTTACAGGAACTTTAGTTGTGTGTGAGCAAGCACCAGCTGCTTCCTGCTGTGTCCACAGTGACCTCCCCATGTGGCTCCATGATGGCCTTCCTGTCTTGTAGTAGACAGGGACAGAGGCCTACTCACCAGTCAATGCCTTTGTGATAGTTGTGGCCGTTAAAAAACTGAATCTCCTCAAAGGTCTCTGAGCTGGGGTAGTTGCTGCTTAGGTCTGGATGCATTCCCAGGAATAAGTAGAGGGCTGTGGTGCCTGGAGAAGGAGAAGCACTGATGATCACACCCCACCCCTGAACAAAAGACAAAGTTTGGGTTCTGGGCCTGGCTTCTCAGGTATTCACTAGGAAGTCCTTGGAAAGTCCTTCCCTTCTCTGGGTCTTAGCTCCTTTGTCTGCACAGTAAAGAAATTGTGCTAAATCCAGGATAATAAGCATAGGGCTTGCCTGTGGATGCTATAGCTCCTGTGCCCCTTGCAGACATCACTAATCCATTACAGCATTCTTCATCACTACATATGACTTGACCTCAGAATCATCACTGCACTCTGACAATCACATCTAGTTGACTGTGGTCTCTGCAGAATCTCAGAGCTAGAGACTTCTGCTAGTTCTTTCCAGCTCTAGGCCTCTGTCTAGTCTGGTATTTGGAAGCAGCCTAGGAAAAAAGGCTCTGACCCACCCTCCGTTGATGGGAAATCATTGTGGAGCCAAATGCTTGCTCCAGTGTCTTCTCTTCTGGCTCCCCCAGTCCTCAGGGAGATAATTTATACACTCCCTATGGTGTGAGTCTATAGTTTATATCCTACCATGAAAGTACCCAGAAGAGAAAAAAAAAAGGCTGCAGAGTTTGGTGATCAGGAGTAGCAGCTTTGGGATCACAGAAACCAAGTCTCAAGACTTAGAACTGGCATTTCTCAGCTAAATGTGCTACTTCACTTTTCTGAACCTTGAGTTTTTTGTCTGTAAAACAGAAGTAGCCATTTGTGCCATACAATGTCATGTGAATGGCAGGTGCTTAGCAATCACGCCTACACCTCTGGCAGGCATGATTAATGGATTATGGTCTGCTCTGCATCAAACCAGTTTTGCCTGGGACAACTCAAACTTTCAGAGCAGCTGATCTGAGTTTCTTTCTCTGTCCACACTTAGAGACTCTCAGAAGGGCTCAGAGAAGGTGCCCTCAGGCTGTGATTAGGCAACCAAAAAATCCCACACTGCCCTCTACTCTCTTCACACCCCTACAGAGGCAAGTCCTCCTCACCCCAATTCTACTCCCACTTCGTAGCTAGGTAATCCCCGTTATTCCATAAAGAAGCCACCAGGAAGGAGCATTAGGCCAAGGGTGGAGAGACCTGCCTGTTTTCTGAGGGCCGATGATGAGGAGCTTTGGGAAGCGGTCACAAGTCTTCTCCTTGGACCAAATGTCTTTGTGGCGTTTGTCCTCACAGGGATCCTAAAACCAACAGTGGAAGAAATGTGAGGTAGGCCCAAGAACTCCATGAATGGACTCCAGGACACGTGGACACTGAGCTTTTCTATCCCTGACCTCCACATATCCTTGTCACCTCCACCCTCCAGACACTGAGTGTGACAAACAGAGACCACTTCTGGTGCATCTCAGGTCCTCAACAGACCTTGGCAAAATGCCCATCTGAGTGCTTGGCACACATCAGCAGCTCACAAGCCCTTGTTAAATGAAGCTGGACAAACAGTGTCTGGACCAAGGGTCAGAAAACTTTTCCTACAAACTTTGGTGAATGGTCAGTAAACACTGCAACCTTTAGATTCTGTTTGGTTTCTGCTGCTTCCAGGAATATCATGGCCATGTGACCGTGAAATTTTCTTTACACAAACAGACCACAGGTTAGATTTGGCCCATGAGTCATGGTTTATGGGCCCTTGTACTTGCCAGGGAAGCACTTATTCCACTGAGCCATCTCCCTGTTTCCAATTTTTAACAGTGCCCAATAGTAGACATTCCCGAGAACTGTCTCCCTAAACCCTCCCAACAGTTCCATCCTAGAGGCTCAGAACCTGCTGTGGTTAAAGGGGTCTAAGACATCATCGAAGAGATTACTACCGTCTTTCTTGGGTTTTTTGTTTTGTTTCTATTTTTGCGGAACTGGGGATTGAACTCAGGCCCTTGCGCTTGTCAGGGAAGCACTTATTCCACTGAGCCATCTCCCCGGCCCCTCTGTTGTTTTTTTTTTTTTTTTTGGTTTTTTTTTTCTTTTTGTTTTGTTTTTGAGACAGTGTCCCACTTGGTAGCACAACAGGCCTTATATTCATGATTACTTCTGCTTCAGCTTCCCAAATGCTGGAGTAATGTGATTTTTTTCCAGGGGTGTTAAGTGTGCATGCATGTTGGCCTGTGTGGAAAGGTGTGTATCTGTATGCACAGGAGCACATGTATGTGCACAGAGCAAGTGTGCCCATGCTAGCCGGCAACAGGCAAGGCACCTAAGTTCTCATTTGAGAGAAGGCATGCGGTGTGCAGGCTGAGCACATGCTGCAAGTAGAAGGCATTCCATCCCCACATCAAGGTACTGGCTGCCTTTCCCCACCTGCCAGAGAGGGTCCTTCTCTTCAGAGAAGATCTGGAAGTACTTCTGCGCCAACTGCACGGGTGGCAGCGTCTGCAACCGCAGGTTGGTCCAGGAGTGCAGGAAGCGCACCAGGTGCTTAAAGGTATACAGGCCCAGGCGGTCGTTCCCGTAGTTGGACAGGTGTGTCATAAAGATGCTGATCTACTCAGGGAAGGGGAGGAGGGAGCAACAGCCGGGTGAGCCTCTGAGCCCTTCACCCTACCTTGGACCCTCTAGCCCTGCCTCAGTTTGCATGGACACCCACTAACCAGTGCAAGATACACTGGAATCATCACACACTTGCTGCATGACCAGGTAACCAGGGCTTTGAGAACAATCAGAATAACCTAGTTCTACATGACCCCCAACATCACAACCCCTCAGTGAAAGGTTGCCTGATGCAGGAGCTATTTGTGTTTTGGTTTCGCCCTTGGAGGGAGCAAGTATGTAGGGAAAGAAAGGAGCACTCAGCCCATAAAGCTGAGTAATAACCACTTGACATTTACCTAGTATTATTAAAGAATGGATGACTGTTTCCATTTACAGATAAGGAGAGGGCCACACCGTTCAAGTAGACTCTTCCATGTGTGTGTTGACTGTGGGTGGCCATGTACACACACACATGAAGACTAGAGAGAGAATGCATGCAAAATAAAGAAGAAAGCTCTCATTCTTTAGTCCAGATTATGCAGCAGGACATTGCCAGTACTGGACAGCAGGTCCCTCGACTCCCAGGCCCTCCCGCCAGATTCCCTGCCCAGCATGGCTGCAGAGAACTCACAGGATTGAGGAGCACTGTGAGAAAGAGCTCGCCTCCATTGATGATTTTGTCCAGCTCGCTGGAGCCACCAGGGTACTCATTATAGAAGATAGTATGTGTAAAGAGGCCACACGTCTGCCTCGGGAGGACCTGGGAGACAGAGAGAGGGGCTGTGGCATCTCCAGGCATAGAGAGCAGTGGGGGGTCCCTCAGGAGAAGGGCCAGGGCATTTCCTCAGAAAGGGAATTTCCCACAACCCCCACTATAGAAGTCCCTGCTCCCAGAGTCTCAATGGCCTGCAATACATACCCCAACATGGCAAGTCACAAGCCCTTGCTATTTAACACTACACAGCTCTTCGTTACCCAACATAAGCAGGCCCAAAGGACAGCAACAGTCCTTCCCCTACAGTGGCTACACAAGCCCTTGACCTGAGAGCCTTGCTTGGGCACACTCAAGGTCATACACCAGCTTGGCTGTTTACTGTCTGTCTCCCAGCAGAAAACCAAGCACTGGGGAAGGACAGCACAGGCCTGCCTTGCCAGGGTTTTCTTCCCAGAGTTCATGTGAGCCCCTGGTATGGAGGAGTGTTGGAGGGGGGAGGGCAACGGATAGAGAGATAAATACACAAAGCCTGTCTTCTCACAGCTGCCCCGCTATTAAAGCTTTAAGCCAGATGTCCCCCAAAAGCCTCATGCTCTCATAGGTGGGGCTTTTGGGAGTGACTGGATTAGGGGTATATGTCACTGATCAGTTTACTGATTGGTTTAGCATAGTTCTGAGTGTGGATGATGGATTTACAGAAGACAGAAGACCATACTAGGTGTGGGTGCCACCAACTAAATAGGCTTGTAGCCTGGGCAGAATAAAAAGGGAAAGAAGGAAGGCTCGCTGCTTCGTGCCTGCCACGCCACAGACTATTTCTCCTCTGCCATGCTACACTGCCATGGAGACAGCTGACTATGAACTGAAACCCTACAAACAGTGAGCCAAATAAACTTTTCCTTCTGAGTATTTTGTCCCAGCAACAAGAAAGTAACCAAGACACCAACGTTAATTGATGACAACTTAATCCTTCCAGGCCAAAAGACCTGGAGTCATCTTTGACTCCTCTCCTTCTTCCACACCCTATACCCAATGTGTCAGCAGCTCCTCCTGGCCCTAACTTCTAGTAAGCCTGGCGTGTGATTATGTTCCAATTTTGCACCCCAGTCTAAGCCACCACCATCTCTCCTCCAGAAGACTCCAGTGCCTCCTAACTAGCCTGCTGGCTTCTGGTTTTGTACTCCACACCTTGCTCCACACCTCAGGCAGAATGATACAAATCCTTTTAAGATACAAGTCATGCTCCATTCGAAGCTCCGCATTTCTGCCTAAAACCTGAAGCCCATCAGTGATCAGCCTCATGTGGCCCTTCCATCTGGCCCATCGCCCCTCCCATTTCCTCTCCTGCCTGTCTGGCACTTGGTCCCCTCCAGCCACACTGGCTCCTTGCTTCTCAAATCCACCCAGCATAAGTCTGCTTCCAGGCCTTTGCACTTGCTATCTCTCTGCCTTAGCTGTCCTCCACAGAGAGCAGCACAACCCACCCCAGAAAGCCCGCTCCACTCTCTCTTCCCTGCCTCATTACCTCCAGGGCAGTTATCTCTACTCTGGACCAAGATATGCAACCACAATATACTTTTCCCATTCTTAAGTGCCGTATAATGTCTATCTCCTGACACTTGCACATCAGGTCTACTAGGCCAAAACTTTCCTTAGTTTTGCACCCTTCTCCATGCCACGTGCCTAAAAAAGGGACAGACACTGAAGAAGCTCAAGAGCGGTGCTTAGATGAGCAGATGAATCCAACAGAGAGCTGCCCTAGGTCTTCATCAGAGCCCCCTTTGAAGAACAGTGCCCCCAAATCCTGTGTCGCAAAGCTAGGAAGGAGGTCACAGAAGGGGCCAGACTGGCGGCTCAGCCTCCCCAGACAGCCTCAGAGGTCACGCTGGCAGAGGAACCTGCTCCACCCCCACCCCACCCTAGGGACAGTACATGCCCGGTGCCTCCTCCCCCAGTTCTGGGCCACTTGCCATGATGCCATTGTGGATGAAGCCACGGCGGTAGCGGGCTGGCTTGAGGTGTGGGTACTCCTCTGTGCTGGTCACGCGGATGCTCCACACCTGCTTCCATGCCTCATACAGCTGCACGTGCACAGGGTACACGCCCGAGTGATGGGGTGCCACTGCGTACCCCATGTCTGTAGGGATGCCATGCTCCTGGGGAGAGAAGAGTCAGGCCAAGGTGAGCAAAGGTGAGTGTTCTCCATTTGTAGAACACAAAAGTCAGATGCTACAACAGTGGGGCAGTTAGCCCAAGCCCTCATGGTGCAGATGGGGAAGTTGAGGTCCAAAATCTTAGACTGAGTGACTGGCAGGGATGGGACTAGAACCCCTGTCTCCTAACTCTCAGGCCAGGGTGTGAGTCTTTCATCCCAGGGCAGGCACACACTCCATGGTGGGGAGCGAGGACAGGGCCTCTCCTACCTCCGATTCCCTCTAGTTGGCAAATGAACCCAGGCTCGCCTCCAGCGCCACCCCTCTCACACAGCCCCTCACTGCTCACTGTGCAGAGCCTCCTCGCCCAGCCCATAGGGCATATTTCCTTGTGCCCCGGAAACATGAAGCTCTAAGTCCTAGTGTGACCTCCCGGACCTCAGCTTCATGTCTACAAATGGGGCTGTTGCCTTGAGACTTCTGGGAGACTGGGGCTACAAAGGCAGCTCACCCAGGCCACTATCAGGCTGAACTGCAAAAGCAGCAAGAGGCTAGCAGCTCAGACCCCCCGAGCCCGGCCCCTGGCCCAGCCAGCTCCGTCCCATAGAGAATCTTACTCACGACAGCGAACTTCTTGTTCAGGGCCATCTGCTCAGCCAGCACTGACTGGTTATGGAAAAGGTGGGGCTGCATGTGGCTCCACATGTGGGGGAACCACCAGAACTCCTTCACATATGACAGCAACAGGTCATCCCCCGCATCTTCAGCATCCGTACCTGTAACCCACACAGACCGCTTAGCCCAGCCAGGGAGGCCCTGTGCCCTGCCTGGCTGGAGATGGAGCACACAGCCATGACCTGCCCAGGAGCTATGTGGATGTTACCTGAGCTCCAGTGCAGGAGGAAACAAGAGCCTGGTCCAGAATCTAGGTTCCAGTCTACCATGCACCCTTGGATCAGGGAGTGACCTTGGCCAAGACACTGTCCTCCCTGGGCCTTGCTTGGGGTGCACAGCAATCTCAAGGGTTTCCTCTGTCCTCCTATTCCTACTAGGATCCTAGTCGACTGGGTCACTGTGTTTTGCCTTCTGGTCTGCAGAGGCTCTTTGGGTATATACAGGATGCCATCCAGAGGATGCCTCATCAACGTGTATAACAATAACCACCCTACTACACTATGGGTAAAGGCTATAGCAACAATGCAGAGAGAAAGCCAGCATCACTCCTATTTTGCTTTGGAGCTACTGCACATTTTGCCCTCCATCCTGACTGCTGGTTTTGCCCAGAGCTCAAGAGAGGCAGTGCTCACAGTGGCCCGAGTAGAAGGCAGCATGAGGGAATGGTCACCGCAGATGACCAGATCAGCAGTCCCTCTCGCCTGGTTTGGCAAAGGTCATGGGAGGAAACCAAGAGAGCCCAAAGAAGAAAGAAAGCATGAACCAAGTGACCTTCAGTGTCAGCCTCTACCCATCTGACCCTAAGCAAACCCAGGATACCTATTGTCCTGGGATAGGTGCAGTTATAGGAAGTTTTCAATACCATGTAATTCTGCAATGTTCTTAAAATTCAATCAAATTCTCTTATAAGCAGGAAAAATAATACTAAATAGTGGCAGTGAGGAGGAGATAAAAGGGTAGATGCCCCATCTAAGATGGAAAGGTGGGGGATGTCTTCCTCACCCCAAGCCCCCAGGAGCCATGACTGCTCTTTCTGACTACTGGCTCTAGGACAGTGGGGTCCATCTGCCCATGGCGTGTTGTGGAAAGCAAACCGCTGCCCTCATGGCACAGCATCCTGAGGATGGAAGTAGGAAGGAGGCCTGGCAGGCGAAGGTGGGAACAGGGCCACATACCTGTATGGAAGAATTTCCCTGAGTAGCCCAGGTTGAAGGTGAAGTTTGGGATGTGCGTGCGTAGCTCATTCTGTGTGTCAAACAGGGCCTGGGGTAGGCAGAAGAAAAAGGCAGGCCTGAGGAAATGCCAGCGGTGCCTGATCCTCCCACTGAGGCCCCAAGAAGTGGCCTGCATCACAGACCTAGCTACAAAGCTTGCAGGGCCCAGAGGAAAATGAAGATGTGCTGGTTTGGGGGTGACTATGGCAGAGGTCTTGCCTGGCACAGAAGCCCTGGGTCCCACCCCCAGCACTACAGAAAAAGAAAATTTGAACCCTTCAAAAGTTACAAAAAATGCCAAGAGCACACACCACCATGGAGGACGCCCTCTGCACACCTGGAGCCCTGGCCTATGGCATGAGAAGACCTGCACTCCAGCGGGCTCTGCTGTACTTCTCGAAAGCTTCACCACTTCTCTGGGCTTCAGTGTCCTCAACTATCAAGTACGTCGGATAATCTCTCTCTCTCTGAAGAGGTTCTTGGGAGCATGATGTGAGATACTGCATGGAAAACTGCCTGACATTTGGTGAGGGATGAGAGACGGTGGCCACATTTACTTCTGTGGTCCCTGCCACTGTGAGCGTGGTATCTCCACACAAAGGAGTTCTCCTCCTCAGTGGGCTGCAAGGCTTATGTCAGAGGATCAAGACTTTTCCAAGGATGTGCTCTGGCTCAGCACCATGCTGTCCCCGTGCATGGCACACCCAGCACTTTCCAGGCTGAAGCGACACTGACCCCGCCAACACAGGTTCGCCGGCTGCTAGGAACTTGCAGCCGCCTGCTTTCAGGACAAGTTGCACACTCAGCATCCTGATCCTACCAGGGCTGGGCTGTAGTCATGGTGTCTGGCAAGGCCAGGTCCTGCCTGGTAAGCCTGAGTGCTCCAGGGGCACGGCCTCAGACAAGTCACTTTGTCTTTCAACCTCAGGCCCCTCCTCTATAAAATGGGGCTCACTACAACACCCACCTCACCGGGCTGCAGTGAGGACCAAATGAGTGATGCAGAGAGCGCCGGGCAGCACCTAACACTCAAGCGGCCCTGAACAACAGCTTCAGTTGATGTCATGTAAACTGTGCTGTCCACGCCAAGGAGGCGACATGCATGTCCCTAACAGAAGCACACAGCTGTGACCTGTGCTTGGGATCAAAGGGGAAAGCGCTGAGTCCTCCGTGACTCACCTGACGGTTAAGGTGGTAGAGGAGGAAACCCTGTGCTGCGAGAAGAGCGGGGCAAACTGCACTGAGCTGAGCGCACAGAAGAGGGCGCCTGTGCGCGTTCTACAGGAACGGCGCTCTCGCCCAGCCAGCCTCTAGCTTTAGAAATGGGGAAAATAAACTGAAGCAGGTGATTGTGGGCTCACGGGGGGAACACAGTGGTGTTCTTGTGGGCTCAGCGTGGACCACAGTCTCATAGAGATTCCACTTGCACAGGCAGCCAGGGCCAGGGCCAGGGTCCAGCACGGAGCAAGGCCGGGCCTCCTGAGGAGCGTCCTAAGCAAGCAAGAGCACCCACCAACTCTGCTAGAGGCCCATCTCAACATGGGACGCCTGACGGAATTATCTCAAATTTTCTTTCAATAGGAGAGCCCCTGAGGAAATGGTGTTTCAGGAGCAAACATAACACGTAAAAGCAGATCAAAGCCATACTGCCCTGCCAGCTGAGGGGACAGCCGGGAAGGTAGAGCCTGGCTGAACAGATACTGTATCCATACGCAGCCAGCCCAGAGCCCCTCTGTGAGGCTCTTTGGGTGCAAGAAACAGCCCCAAATCCTCGCATCACACCATCTTACAGCTGAGGCTCAGCAACAGGAAGGGATCCACAGGTCACCTAGCTAACAAGGGTCACACTAGGACTCAGCTTGGGTAGAGAGAGACAGCACCGTGCCAGCAGGGCCTTGCTGCCCAGGGAAAGAAGTAGTCCTTGCCTAAGCCTGTTTCTAAAGCCGCCTGTGTACATCAAAGAGAAGTCTTGGGTTGGTGCTAATATGTTTCTAACGCTCGCTAATCTCCTGTAAGAGAGGACACCCGGTCAGCAGGCACCAGTATTGCTGGAGAATTTAATCCCCCGTTTTGTTTTCATTGGATTTATTGTTGTGCTTGTCCTCTGTTCATGGCAACCCGTACTGATTCCCATTCCACTAGGATGCTGCCTCCTTTACAAATAGCTTTATAATAATGAATAGATTTTAAAGATTATTTAGTGGTCTTCCTTTGCAGCTTCTCTTTCTTGGTGATAATTCATTTACATGTGTGTAAAATCTAGTGGTTGGCAAAGTGCTTTTACATACAGTTGAGTTTTTTTTTTAAATTTTTTTTAAATTGTGTGTGTGTGTGTGTGTGTGTGTGTGTGTGTGTGTGGCCAGCTCAGCCCACCAGGGGGCGAGGCTGGCTGGCATGTGGTGCTGGGGGATTGAACTGTGGTCCCTGTGCTTTGCTAAGCTTGTTCTAAGTAGGTGCTTTAGACCACTGAGCCATCTCACCAGCCCTACAGTTGGGTTTTGTTTGTTTTGACATTTTAGTAAGGGTCTACAGGATCTCATTACATAAATCAGATTGTAGTGATCTGCCTGTGTTCAGCCTCCCAAGAGTGGGATTACAGGACACGCCACCATGCCCAGTCTTACATAGTTTTGTTTAATAAACACTTTTTAAATTCAACACATGCATCATACCATCGTTAGATACCTCAGCTAAAAAACCCACACCCAAGCTCTTTTTTGCTTTTAAAATTCTGCAGAAGCTTTAATATTAACATAAACTTTTTGTTTTTTGAGACAGGGTTTCACTTTGTAGTATAGGCTGGCCTTGAGCTCACTAAGTAGCCTTGGCTGGCCTCAAACTTACAGTGAGCCTCCTGTCTCAGCCTCTCAAGTGCTGGGGTTACATCTGTGCCCCACCACATCCAGCTGCTACACACATTTTCAAGAATTAAAAATCATATCCAGATTAAAAGACACAATTTGCACTTTTAGGTTTAGGGTTTAGGTGAGTGGGTGTCCACCTCCATAGATATATCCTTGCCCCAAGTATAAAATTCCTCTATATTTAATACTTCAACAAAAGTTTAAATAAGCCAAGGATAGTGGCACATGCCTGCAATTCCAGCTACTAGGGAAGCTGAGAAAGGAGGAAGGCCACAAGTTCAAAGCCATATGGGGCAACTTAGTGAGACCTTGTCTCAATTTTTTTTTTTTTGGGGGGGGGGTGATAGGGTCTTGCTAAGTCTCTGAGGTAACCAGGATAGGCTTGAACTTGTAGTCCTCCTGCCTCAGCTTCTCACAGTTCTAAGATTACCAATGTCCTCCACAACACCCAGCTCTGTATCTCAAAATATAAAAAGTAATGCCAGGTGTGGTGGTGCATGCTTGCAATCCCAACACTCAGGAGGTGGAGGCAGGAGGATCACCAAGAGTTCTTCATAGTGAGTTCAAGGCCAGCTTGGACTACATAGAGAGACACAAAGTAGATAAATAAATAAATAGCTGGGCATAGAGGACAAAGCTGTAATCCTAGCACTTGGAAGGCTAAAGAAAGAGGATCAATCTGAGCTCCATGTCAACCTGGGCTACCCTACCTAGTGAAGTCAAAGCAAGACCCTATCTCAGAAAAACCCAAAACCCAAAACAAAGCAAAATATAAAAAAGAAAATAAAAATGGCTTAGAGATATAGCTCAGTGGTATAGTATTTTTCTAGTATGTACGAGGCTCTGGGCTTAATCCCCAACACTGAACACCCCACACACAATTTAAACACTTGCTCCTGAAAAGACCATCAATAAAAACTCAGTGGCCACAGCGGCAGGCAGACCATGCTATGAAGACCTAACAGCACAGAGGTGGAGCAGACAGGGCAGAGCCACAGAGGAATACACACAGCATTGCAGTCCTGCAGCCCTGCCTTACCTTCACGTCCTCCACCTTCATGCGTGTCCCCTCCTTGCCCACAAAGATGTCATCGATGTCCACCAGTATGTAGCGGTCCAAAGGCAGTGACAGGCGCTTCCCAGTGAGGAAAGCCACAGCATCCACAAAGACGAGTTTGTGCAGCCAGAAGTTGAGGTTATTGCCAAACAGCACACGCTGGATGCCATCATGGAGGCCCAGGTCCTGCACCACCGTGGCGTGCAGCGCAGCGTGCAGGCCGGCGTCGGCACCCAGGTGGGGGATGGACTCGGACGAGCGCGTCTTGGCCAGCAGCACCGGCTCATAGGTGGAGTGGTTCGACTGGAACACAGTCCAGTCCTCGCCAGGCAGCACGCCCTTCTCCACCTCGCTGGGCCGCGTCACATAGAGCAGTGGGGACTTGGGATTGATGCTGCAGTCCTTCAGGCCCAGGTTTGAGTGCAGGAACAGGGGGAAGCCCTTGAGCTGTGCGCTCAGCAGGCTGTTCTCATTGGCCTGCAGGCAGGTGGGGATGGGGAACAGCACGTGAGAGCTCTAACTCCAAGAACAAGATCTTAGATGGGGACTGACATCAGTAACATCAACAATAGCCACTGCACTCATGAAGGGCTCACCATACCCTGTCCCTGTCCCTTCTGCCCCTACAGTAATGCATGGCAGCCATTTGTGATTCACTTGCCATGCCTGGTGGTAGATCCATGAAGGAATGCTGTTAATCCTCCCAGCGACCCCACGATGGAGATGTTGTCACATTCACTTTATAGACAAGGGAACTGGGGCTTGGAGAAACTAAAGTCATAGGGCCGAGGAGATAGCTCAGTAGAATAAGTGCTTCCCTGGCAAGTGCAAGGGTCTGAGTTCAATCTCCAGTTCCACCAAAAAAAAAAAAAGAAAGAAAGAAAGAAAAGAAACTAAGTTATACCCAGGAAAGCGTAGCATTGAAAGCACAAATACTAGGTGGCCTGGTCTTCAGCAAGTTATCTCACCACTTTGGGCTTCAGCTACCTGTCCTGCAAAATGCAGCCAATCCCACAACATACTTCGAGGGTAGAGGAGGACTGAGGTTAGCACTGGCAAAGTGCTCAGTACACAGCCTGAGGTGAAGCCTGTGCTCATCCAATCCTCCTGTCAGCCTTGGGCTTGGAGAGGGGACAGAATGTCCCCCAGTATTGCCCTCCCAAGGCACAGTGAGCTGTATTCAAGTCCAGGCAGTCTGACCTGGAGTCTGCACGCCCAAACCCATGCTGTGGCCTGGAGTTTCCAAGTGGGCTTTGGCCACACAGCCTTTTCTGCAGCAGGAATCTCTGTGTGTACATGCACATCGCTAGACCTTGGACCACCACAGAGCTTCTCCACCACTCTTTAGAAGTCGTGCATGGATACACTGTAGGATATCAATGAGGAGTGCGGCATAAAGGCACTGCCCCCAAGGACCCCAAAACCACCCTCTCACAGGGTTCCAGCTCCCAGACCCTCCTCCTACCAGCCTGCTAGCCCTTGACATAGGGGTTACTGCTTCCACCTCTGGCTACAATGCTGCCACCTCTGGAGCTCAGGAGCCTCAGCCCTAATGGGAACCCACAAAGTTTCACTTTTACTTTTTGGTGCTTCTGGCTTCTTCTGCTTTGCGGAGCTCAAGACTGACCCAGGGCCTAGTGCAGGCTGGAAAAGCTCCAGCCCTCCTGCTGGATGGCCAACTGGATTTACTTAAACATGAAAAAGAAACAGCTGCCCAGTACCTGGCACATGAAAGCCTTTCATCTTCCACAACTACTGTATTCACTATGTGGGACAATATAAAAAGTACAGAGCAAAATACAGTGAGAAAAAGCATATACAGAATACAGCATATACAGTGACCAAAACCAAACAAGGTCCCTGTCCTCACGAACCTTAGAGTGAAGCAGGGAAGAAAGACAGCTACCAAAAACCACAGGAATGAACATAAAACTGCGGTGTAACACGTGCAAAGCGGAGGAAAACAGCGTTCAGGACACAATCGGCTAGCTAAGGAGGCCTGCTGGAGAAGGGCGCTTGGAGATAACAATGAATAATTAACCAGTGGGCAAGTAGAGGCCAGGTTCCCAAAACAACAAGTGCAAAGGCCCTGAGGTACAAGAGTGCTCAGTACAATCAGAGAACAGCAAGAAGCTTCTAGAGTGATCAAGAGGGGAAGGAGAGGATGCAGTAAGACCTACAGGACCCTGGAGGCTTGAAGTGGTAGAGGGAAGCCACCAAAGGCCACCAAAGGGCACTGGGTCAGAGCACACAGGTTCCAGTTTACACACTGAGAACATCTACGAGACTGCTGTGTGCAGAATCAATGAAGGGTGTGGAACAAGTCTAGAAAGGGGTCTGGTCACACACGTAGGATCCCCAGGTGAGCACAGCACCAGGCCAACTGCTGGGCAGAGGTGGGAATAAGCTGCAGTGGAGCCCATGCTCTGGCACTAGGCTGCCCCTGCTCAGAGGCACCCTTCACAAGTCTCCTCTATAAACAGGCTTCTAATTCCCACAAAGGCTTCACAGGGCTGTGGCCCTGTGAACATAAGGAACCTATATGGAGTTTGCACACGCAAGGGGTACCTGCCAGCTCCCCAACCTGGCCAAGCTCTTCCGCATTAGGCCCTCCACGACCCAGGTCAGCATTGGCCAAAGGTGGCAACTGTGCGGGCTGTATGGGGGCTGGAGACACTTCAGGCCCTGTCCATCACCCATCAAGGCCTGGGAAGGCACACTGGAGCACGAGGGCAAAGGGATCTCATTTCAAAGTCCCGACCCTGAGCTGGCTGCCAGGTGCTGGTGGCTCAGCCAAACACCCAGACATCAAGGAAGAGAGAATGCCAAGTCACTGAGAGGTATCCCAGTCAGCAGTGGGAGGAGCAGCCAGGGAGAGGACGAAGAGGCCAGGCAGAACAGGGTGGGGGTAAGGACTGCCTGGGAGGGCAGGTTCTCTGCACTGCACAGAGCTGAAACACTCTTGTTTGCTGAACAAAAGATTCAATATCCCCCAATGCACCCAACTAGAGACCCTGCTAATACCTACTTTCATATTGCCTGACACTCTTCTAATGGGGTCACCCAGGCCAAAGAAGGAAGCGCCTGAGCCAGGAGTGGGAATCGGGGCCTAGCACAGCCGGAGCTGGGCACTGTGGAGACTGCTGTCTCCCCTCTAGGGGCCTTGGGTCCTCCACAGGCTACTCTGCTGCCTTCCATGGTTTTCCACAGCTGGGTTAGAAACAACAAGCTAGGTTGTCAAATCCTGGCTCAGATGCATCATTCTGCTAAACCCTCTTTTGGGCATCAGGTCCTTATCAGAAAATAACATCTCTACTTCACAAGGTAGCCACAGAAATTAAACAGGGTAACACCTGCAGGGTAAGGAGCTGGGTGTCCAGCACAGCCTAGGTACTCATAGCAGAGGGCAGGGAGCCACGCCACACCTCTGCCAGCTGTGCTCAGCCCTGGCCGCCCAAAGTGACAGGCTGAGGAATGACACTGCCAGGAGCTGAGCTGGAGAGGAGGCCCTCATTCCTGCTCTTCAGGGGTTCAAAGGGGCATACTCTGGTCATAGTCACAAGACTAACAAAGTGCTGCCACCACTTTTGCTGGGCTTGGGGATGATCAAACCTCCTAGTAAGTAGGCATGCCTGTAATTCTAGCACTCTGGAAGCTGAAGCAGGAGGATTACCATGAATCACCATGAGTTCAAAGCCAGCCTACAGTACACTGTGAAACCAGCTTTAAAAAAAAATCCTGTCAGCTGCCATTTACTGAGTGGTCCTGGGGACCAGGCATTGTGCATACTGGTCCCCTCCATGGTCTTGTTTTATCTCCACCACAGCCCAGGAAGGCAGAGATGTCACTGGCATCAAAGGGGTTTATGCAGGCTATTTGAGTTCACTCAGCTTCTAAGCTTCAGGGGGACTGGACCCAGGGCCTGGAGGGTTGCACCGCTGTGACTATACTGTCCTGGGAACCCAGCCATGGTAGGAAGGGAGCAGAGAGTCCCCAGAGCACTGCCACCCACAGGGCTGGGCAAGCACCAGGCACAGCACTACAGCTGATGGTGCAGAAAGAGTAGAGATGTACCCCAGCCACCAGGGGGGCCACAAAAACAAAAGCCTCAGCTCAAAATTAAGGGGTGGGGGCTGTCTTAAACAACTGGCCAGGAAGGGGACAAAGATGCCACAGGGGGCATTCCCCGCCCCTCAGCAGACCTCAAGGTAGAGCTAGAATCCAAGTTGTCATACCAGCTGCTCCAATGTCCCCTTTCACTGCCACCACCTTCTGCATTGTCCCTCTGCTGTGGCCTCTGTTGCAGATTTCTACTAAATAAATGGTGAGGCTTCTGGACTCACTGCACAGTGGCCCCTGAAGTAAGCTGTGTGCACTCAAATCTTAGTGCACACTTACAGGGCGCCTCTCCTTGCCTCAGTTTCCTTCTGTCTTACATCAGGATGTTATCACCTGCCTTGGAGACTGGCTTATTAGTGGGAATGGAGCTAATTCACCTAGAGCATGTAGGCAGTGCACAGTGCACTGAGCAAGCTCTCAATAAATGTCGGTCATTCTGACAATTTTCAGGCCTGGGGCTCTGAACCAAACTTAATGAAGTTCACGGCAGGAAAGGGTATAGAATCCAGGAGGAAAGAAGAAAAAAAAAAAAAACAGACAATGGAGAGAGGCTGACTTTATGCTTCTGCAAAGCCATAAACCAGGCCAGTGCTCCCCAGAGGGTGCTCTGTGAAAGAGATCAAGACAGGTAGGGAACAGATCTCACCAGGCTGCTCTACCACAGGGCTTCTAAAGAGTTCAATCTCTTGGCTCACAAAACCTCTTAGTGGCAGAGCCTCCTGCTGTATTACCGTGTGAAAGAGCAGATCGTGGGAAACCTTCAGTGAGACCAGCGCCTCCCAGCACCCCACACAACGTGCCAGGAAGCTGACTCCTCATCCTCCCTCCTCATGCACACCAAGCAAGAGCCCCATGCACTCCCTGTCCCTTCTGGGTACAGGGCTCATTGAAGAGAAAGCCACACCACTCCTCCCCTCACTTCCTTCAAGTTCTTCTGTCAAAGAGAACTTCCTTGGCTGGCTATCAAACAGTGTCAACCTCCCACTACCCCTGTGCCCATCCCCTGCTCTGCTTCCTTTTGCACTCATTGCCACAGATGCTAAGTGCCCTGCATCCTGTGTTTATCCTTCGGTGCCTATCACCCACCCCACTACATGCAAATGTCAGCTCTGCAAGGGCTTTGTCCATTTTGATTCTTGCTCTGCCCCAGTGCCCAGTACAGAGGTGGAACACTCTAAGTGCTCAGTGCCCAAAGCACCCAACTAGAGTCCCTACTAATACCTACTTTCATCTTGCCTGACACAGCCTTAGAAACCCCTCATCCACTGTTCCTGATCTCCCCTCCTCAAGGACAGATCCTCCATGACACCTGTTCAGCAGGAAAGTCAATCCTGTTGGTTGTCCTGGGAGCCCAAGGTCCAGAGCAGGTCCTCACCTTCCTCCTCTCTCCCAATGCAAAATGACACAAGTTTGGAAGGAACATGAACTTCATGGCCCACTGCAGCCATGAGGAAAGAGCAAGGATACAGAGCCCAGACCACCTACATCAGAGTTCAAATCTCAGCTCCCCACTTAGAAGGCTGCAGTCTTAAGATATATAATCCAACCCTCTTAGACTCTGTTTGCTCCTCTGCCAAAATGGGGACCCACCCTCCCTTGGGAGGACTGCCATGATAGGTCCTTCCACCCCAGCAAAACATGCTTCCCCACATACCTTGAAGAAGCCGATGATGCCCACACCATAGGCCACACAGTACTTGTCTAGGAGCTCCCGATTCCAGGCATCCAGGTTGACGTACTTGAGGATGTTCTCGTAAATGATGAGGGCAAAGCGGCCACGGCCCTTGTCGGTGAGCGTGGGCATGTCCCCCTTGCCCGGCGCAATCTCTGTGCGGTATTTGAAGCGGCTGGACTCTAGGATGGCCACCACCTCCTGGCCCAGCTGTGAGTACAGGCTTTCTACAAACACTAGGACCAGAGGGTCTGTGCGAGAAGGGGTAACCGGCTGCACAGGCTTGAGCGGCAGTAGGCGGCTGGGGGCCACAGGTGGGGGGTCCCCGCAGTCAGACTCAGGGGCGTCCACCGAGGGCTCCAGGCCCCGCTTCCAGCCATACAGGTAGTAGGCCGAGACAAAAACACTGAACAGGCAGAAGATGAACAGCAGAAAAAGGACAGCCTGTGGGGACACGTGCCGACAAAGCCTCCGGAGGCACGCCAGGGCAGGCATCCTGGTCCCCAAGACCTCAGCCACAGGTGGCCTGGCCTGCCCTGGCCACCCCAGGGCCCCCACACAGGAGACACGAGAGTTGTCCACTGACCAAGAAATACACAGAGACTTATGAAGCAAAGCCCTCAGTGGGCAATGGGAGTGGAGGATCCGGGCCCTGGCCTTTCTCCCTGCCAGGGGCGCAGTCTATAGGCTGGTCTTGCTCCTTCCTTCCTTCCTCTGTGCCCCTTTATGTCACCATGGCAAACCTGCACTTGGTCCTGCGCAGTGCAGAAGTGCCCCAGGGCGTCAGGGCCTCTTGGGGGGGCTGGGCAGCAGGCCAGAGGACACAGGGCCAGCCAAAGGGGGCCGCATGCCACTCACTTGGGAGAGCCACAGGGCTGTGGAGAGAACAGCAGAGTTAGTACGGGCTTCAGGGCAGCGGGCTTCAATGCAGCAAACTTGGGTCCTCAGGAGGCAGGCCCGAGTTCAAGCACAGCTGCCCAACCGCAGGGCATCATGTTGAGGCAAGTGAGCTCTTTAATCTCACTGAGCCTCAGTTTCCTCGTAAATGAACTGAGGCCAACAGTTAATAGTACCCAACTCACAGGGGGTGAAAGAGCAAGTCCATAATCCCTTAGGCCACTACCTAGTGCACAGGATCTACAGTGGTGCTTGTTATTTTTCATATCATCAGAGTCCAAAACTGGGCCAAGAAAAATTCAGAAACAGGAAAGATAAAGTAAGACATGAAACACTTTCGAGACCTGGGAGCAAGAGGTGGATTCTAAATCAAGACCAACACCACACCCTGCTCTTCCCTGCCCATTGCTCTCCAAATGACCCAAGCAGCCCCATCCAACAGAGGAAAAACCAAGGCTCCAGCAGAAGCAGCCAAGGCAGGATTCCAGCCCAGGGCTCTGAGGGCACCCTGTCTTGGCCACCCAAGAAGGCTCCAGCACCTTTCCTGCACTGAACACTCATCTGTAACCCTGCTCAGGGCTGTGGCTGAGGGTTCCCCAAGTAAATGAGCCTAAAGAAAGTAGCACAAGAAACATTCAGAAATGGCTTCTGTCACTACTTCAGATGTAAGCACACATCTCTTGCCCCTGAGGCACATGTAACACTGGACACCAGGTGACCAACCTCCCCACCACCCTGCCAAGGTCCCAGACTGAGTGCAAGGGATAGGCAAGATCTTCACTGGGCCTCTATTTACCCAGGCAGCCAGAACTCTGGGTTCCAGCAGCCTGTGCCCCATGCCCAGGCCATCCCCCTGCATCCAACTAATGGAAAGTTAACTGAGACCTACAGGTACTGACGACGGCCCCAATTCCCTTGCCCCCAGCAGCAACCCAAATATACTCAAGCATGAGTCAAAGCCAGGGAATGAGATTTCCTAGCAAGTCAATGGGCAGCCTCCTATGAGCCACAGCCCCTGAGAGCTAGCAGGAGAGCTCCCCACATCAGGATGGAAGTACAGGAGCCTAGACAGCCAGAGAAGGAAGGCAAACATGACAGCGCACTGGAAGTGAAGATCCCTGACGTCCATCCCAGCCCTCAAACTGACAGCATGCTACCCACCCAACAGTTGCACTTCTAGGAGTTTATAGTAGAAGCAGTCACTGCAAAAGTGTGTAAAAATATCCCTCACAGCAATATGAATCCCATGGCAGTTTATGTAACAAATGCCCAACAAGGGGTGAATTGTCTCTAGAAATTATAATGCAAGCATGTGACGCAATCCTGAGCAGCCTTGGTAGCCATTCACAGCTATGTTGAGAAAGGACATTTACTGACATTTACCATATATATTGTTGAAGTGGAAAACATGTTAAAACAGTTTGTATGTGTGGTCATATTTTTGTTAAATATTTTTATACATAGTCCAGAAAGTGGGACTAAATATAAAAAATAAATAAAAACTGTTAACAGGGATTATCTCTGGGTGATTTTCATTTTCTGTTTTTTGTTTATGAGATGAAGACAGGAACTGGACAGGTTTGATCCTAACTGTGCCATGACATCGCTGAGTGACCCTCGAGCACAGCCTCTTCAGCACTGGGCTTCCTGCCTATTACAGTGGACTTGGCCAGACAACCTCTGGGGCTCTTCTACTGCCGATGCACCACTCCACAGTCCTCACTATGTGCCAGAGGCAGCCCGAAGGACAGAGGCAGCCAAGAAAGCAGGCACTGTGGTGCAAGGGGGCTGAGTGCGGCAGGTGGGGAGGGAAAGGTGTTTGGGTACTGAACCCTCTGGAGGGGGCACTGGAGAAGCTCCCTGAAAGAGGTGGCACCTGAGTGAGCTCAGCAGTAATAGGGCTGGCCAGGGCCAGAGAGAATGGTGCATGCCATGGCCTGAATAAGGAGTGTGTGGCGCTTTCCAGGGACTCCCTGCATTCTAGGTGAGAGCAAGGCCAGGGAGGGCAGGTGTCCTGACAGCCAGAAGGACTAGGCTGGCTGTTCCTGCTTATGCCCAGTACACACAGGGTGTCCTATTTACCACTGATAAGGGCTGCGGGCAGCAACAGCCAAGCCCCACCCCCTGGCCTGGAGCCAGGACAGAAATACAGTGATTGAGGAAGCCAGGATGCCCCATGGTACCAGGCCCACATTGGCCACCCAAGCCCAGGGAAGGAGTGGAGCCCCTGAATGCTGCAGTTACTGGCCCTCTAGCACATTAACAGCCTTTCAGTGCGTAAATGATGCAATCCAGACAGTCTGAGGCATCTCACAGGTCAAAGACCCCTGTGGGAGTCTGACATTTTCAGATAGAGAAAATATGCACAGTAAAACATGCACATGGTTGCCAAAGGCTTGGCTGCAAGGATGAACAGCCAGAGCCCACAGGATCTTAGAAGACTGAAACTACTCCACACGATACTCCGATCACAGGTACAGCCGCACACCTGCCCAAACCCAGGGGCCATGTAAGATCAAGAACTAACCTGACAACGAACTATAAGCTCCGTGTGATAAGGATATGCCCACGTAGCTGCATCAACAGAAGGGGACAGATGCTGCAGTGAGGATGTTGAAAGCTGGGAGGAGGAGGTTTCCCACATAATATAGGAAATCTGTAATTTCTTTCAGTTTTGCTGTGACCCTAAAACTTTTCTTAAAATATAACCTCCAATATACATGCACATGTACCCATAAATACACATGCCCCGCTTACACATATGCAACGATGTCAGAGAATCCATTCCCCGAACCTAGGCACAACAGACTGCACCAGAAGTCCTCCAGCAGTGATGGAGAGAACCCTTTAATGACCAGTGTGCTAACTGTATTTCCAAACTCACTTATTTATCTCAGAGTACCAACACTGCAATTAGACCTGAAGTTCTGGTTTAGAATAAAACAACTCATACATTAACATCTTTTGTATTAAAAGAAAAACACAGTAATACCCAGGCCATGGGGGCTGGTGAGATGGCTCAGTGGTCTAAAGCACCTACTTAGAACAAGCTAAGCTAAGCAGAGCACAGGGACCCTGGTTCAATCCCCCAGCACCACATGCCAGCCAG